CCATGCTTCGCGATAAAACCAAATTAAGTCTATGTGCTAGACAGTGAACGAAAATTGCATATTTAAACTTCTCTTTCACTTTAGCTTGAAGGCCTCCTAAATGGCCAACGATTACGGCAGCACCATCGTAGCTCTGGGCAACAAGCTTAGAACCACATTTTAAACTTGAAATAATGTCACAAACAATTTTAAACAATGCATCTGCAGTTCGTTCGCTAGTGACGACCAAAAATCCTAAGAATCGCTCTTGAGGAATACCATCCTATACATATCGCGCACAACAATGGATAATTGACTTAAGTTTAATGCATCTATGGTTTCATCAAGCGCAATTAATACGAAAGGTGCTTTTTTAATTTCACTTTTAATGTGTGTGCCTCTCGACCGTATTTTACGTGCCCGAACAGACTGACACTGTCGCGGCAAAGCAGGGTCGATAACACTAAGCGAAATCAATTGGAAGATAAGCCGGCTTTTTTAAGACGCGCTTCCTCCGACGGACTCGAAGTATATGGTGTGCGATTACACAATTAATTTTCTCATGGGTGGTGCGTGCGTTTACACATTACAGCAATGAACTGTTAGTACATTTACGAAGTTTACGTAATATTTCAGAGAAAATATAGTACCTAATTTAATATTAATTTCAATGCATTGTAAACTGAAAAATATTTATTTTTAAATCTCAAAGTGTAGGGAAGCGGTGCTTCCCTCGCTTCCATGGACCGCACGCCCCTGGTTCAGATAATTTCTCGTGAAGACTTATTGCTTGTCTCATTATAGTGTTATTTTCTGTATTAGCAATGTTACTAAAGCCAAGTGGTCGTTTATCTTTAAATATTTACACCAATCTATTGGTACAAATTTTAACTTATTCAATATATTTATACGAATTCCGTTTTAGAAGGCAGTCGTTATACCACACAGCAACGTAATTTTTTTAACACATCCAAGGCATTCCCCATTCGACCATTCACTGTTGGGTTTTAATTAACAGTGCTGTTCCTAAACTGGCGCTGGGAAACAGTAACAAAGCCTACACAGAACACGAGGTTAATGGCCTTAGTAGTCGATGCCGATGACACCAAATTAAAAAAAACACACATCATTAAGCCCAAAAATGCAAGTGCATCTTTATCATCTTCCGTTATTGCCGATGACATGTTTTTTGCGGAAGCTTCCGTGGGGAACTGAAGATCGACACAGAAGTCGGTTAAATGTGCAGTTTAAAATCACTACGTTATATCGTTACGTGTGTAGCGGCCATAATTCGCTTTTCTTAGTCTGCTTTTTCATCGTCCAATACGTAATAAATATCGTCTTTATTACATTAAGGTATAGAGATACATGGCCCATCAATCGCGTTAAGAATGTGTAAATACAACTTTTAAATACACTAGTTATGTTTTAAATATTTAAGTGATTGGGTAATTATTTGACTTTAGTTATTTTTCGCAGTTTAGTTCATAACATTTTTATAAGCATGGGTGGAAATCGATATCCTGAGCCCTGCTCGGTTATTTGTATTTCACGTACTTTTAGGGTTTTAGTGTCCGGCTATACAGACACGTGGTCTCACGATTTGATTTTGGTATTTTACCTCTGCGGGTTTTAGTACCCCCACACATGAGCGTGATCTGAGGTTTTATCTATTCGTCTTTGGTTGAGGACTACTTATCTATATTGGAATGAGCTTCAGAGGTACAGCTGAAACGTTCGCCGACGTTTAACGGAGAACACCGAATTAAGGAAGGATATTTTATTCAATGCATACCTTTGTGGCTTAAACATTATTGAAGATAATTAAGTTTTTTTTTTTTTTTTAATTATTTTTTGGGAAGGGAATTGATCTGTTATATAAGTTAGGATATTTCATAGTAATGAGATTTTATTTATTTAAGTAACATTTAGGTCTTGGTAATTGTACGACTGAAATCAAGTGACTATATTTATCGGTACTTTTTCACTCTATGCAGATAGCACATAAAGTCTATGCCTTGGTACCAACACCTATGTCTCTGATATATAGTTTTACTTTTTGTCCAAGGGATATACGACACAGATCCCAGCTAGCACAAAAACGTCTCATCTACGTTAATAAGCTGCAATTTTAGGTTCTTTAAGCTCGCGTGCAATGTACTTTTAATGTAACCCTAATATTTCTGCAACCGCCGAATGTCCGCAACGGTAAGACTTTTATAGCACATCTTACAGAGATAACAAGGTCAAGTTCGAAAAACATCACGCTAGCACTTTTACGGTACTTATCCCGAAAGTTGCTCTATAAGCTGAATTAGTTCTACAGCATTATACAGTGTGTTTACGGACGGACTTACCTATACTTGTGAAAATATTTATTTTAAATTAAAAAAAGTAATTCTTCATCATTGCTTTTGCTTGTTAAATAAATACGATTCACATTGAGAAAGTAGGAAAATTAACTTTTTTTTTAATTTAAAATATATATTTTTACAAGTATAATGAAGTCCATCCGTGAGACACTATATTTTTCTTTGTATAATGTAATACAGAGAGGCTGAAATTGAGGTTATATTAAAATATAAATCGAGATATAAAAATTTTAAATAAAACAAAATATTTATATAAATTTATTATTCAAATATTCTTGAAATTAAGTACCAATATCACAAAAGTAGAGGTAGGTATAAACATATGTGCGGTACTAGAAGCTACCTATAAAGTAATGAAAATGAATGAAAAAAAATAAGCTAAATAAGGTACCAATATTGCAAAGGTTCACTAGATCTGTATCAATATGGAAATTGTACGATGCTAAAGCTAGATCGGTGAATAATAATACACGATTGTAACAATGACTAGGTACATATTATACTAAAAGATAGCCGAGTTCTCCGATTTATTTCCTGTAGATAAAGAGATATATCATCTTTTTAAATCAAGCCTTTTAACTTTTTTTTTATATAGATATTTACCTATATTTTTATTTCGTTACTATATTATTTATGCGAAGGTGATAAATATTCTTTTATCACATGAGACTTGAAAATATTTTTTTCCTACGACCACTTAGGAAAGTGACACATATCACACTATATAGACCTATGGAAAGTGCCCTATATCACACGCGTATGAATAAGAATTTACTTTCCACCCAAGTGAGAATATGCTACTTTCCGCAGTAGCTGTCAGAAAATGTCAAACACATAATTTCTATTTTGATCTATGTAATGTCCATATTAATACTAAAATCGATATGATTGTTAAATTATTGTAAATTAGATCCTAGATATTTATCTTTAACAATTATTTTTAAAATAATTTTAAAATAACTAAGATATATTTGCTTTTTATTCTGGTTAAACACATAAGCGATTAGATCAATCAATTACCGTAAGGCCTGTTAGCTCAGTTGGTTAGAGCATCAACTTTGCAATTTGAGACCGTCCAACGACCGCGATCGAATCCTGGCTGTGCCAGATTTTTTTTTTTATTTTTTTTTTATTTTTTTTTATTTGTTTAGAAATTATGAAAATTTAATAAATACGATTATTGTTGATTATTTTTTTAAATACATTTTAATTATTATAATAATCTGGTTTTACATTTTTTGATGAAATTATTTTGTGGTCGTAGGAAAAATATTGTACATCACTTGTGTGAAAAGTGATTTTCCACACTCGTAATGTAATATACTATATTTATGCTATAATGTAACCTACATATGAAACAAGAGTTTTCCATAACATATTGACCTACTTGTTTAACTATTATTAAAGGAAATTAAAAAATCTGATGTGTCCAACACATGACTTTCCCATTTAGTTATTACAGGCTTTTTTCGGTTATTTTGTACAACCTATTGTAGCACTTCTGCAAATATTTAGAGGTTAATTTAATATATTTTCTTCAAAATCAGAATTTTTACATTAAAAACACAAACATCACAAACATGATAAATGATATATGATAAGAAAAAGTGACAAGTTACAAGTGACAATTGACATAAACATAAACGTTCCAAATTCAGATTGTGATGTGGTATACTTCTCGAGGATACATTTTATCGCAAATTAAATTATTACGTAGTGTTAATATAACAGGTAGGGTAAATATGTAAGTAACAAGCAGAAGTTTGGCGAGGATTTGATTTCCCTCAATACTCTCCCTTAAACGTTGCATTTATGTTGTATCGTAATGTTATTACGTTCCCTTAAAACAACATCGCCGAAAGGCTTGGCAACGTTATGTGCTAGCTGGGATGCGATTACTTTTTATATATTTGAAAGCCTGGGGTACATTGTTAATTTTCACTGGAGGGTATGAGGGTATGACAACCTATTAAATGGTATGAGCAGGAGTTTTCGGTTGTCTTATTTCGTTCTTATTGTTTGATTGACTTAGGTTGGAGACAAGGAAAAATATTTATCTGGCATTCAAGTCCATCTGGCCCCCTTATTTGAATTCTCTTAATCTTAGTACTAAACGGACCACGCCTTTCTCCACTTAGACTGAAACCGGAGCCAGAGGGCTGTTCATTAGACAGTCAAAACTATTTACGTTACCTGTAGACCTTCGTAGGTTAGAAGGTGGGAAATTGCCATTGTAAGTTGAATTTAGTGGAAACCATTGGACCCTAACGCGGACTGCGTTCTAGGGGGAATTTAGTAGGTAACACGATGAAAGATTGCTGAAAATTATACTAGTCCACGACCATAAAGGATAAGGAAGAATACAAGGGCATAAATCATCAGTTTGATCTCGCTTGAAAACTCTTAAATTCCGAGGATTTGAGACAGTTCCAAAAAGTTTGTTATTATAATTACCGACCTATTTATTTCATGTGGCGCAAAGAAACAGTTAAATAAATCTAGAATTTTGCTTATCTACTTCTTTGTCTGTTGTTAATATAACAGTTATATAGTATATATATCATAGTTATCCTAAAGTGCTCAGGGCTTCCAATAGGTTAAAAACGGTAGGTACTGTTTAAAATATCTACTAATTAGTAAAAAAAAGTCTTATTGTAATATCATTTATTCTAATAAATTTACATGTCAACATCATGAAAAATGTACGATAAAACTACCAGACAACAACTTGTACGATTCTAGATATCACAAGTAGTACATTACATCGTACACTGTCATAGACAGGAAATACTTATACGTCACTTTTAATAACAAAATAACGCTTTATTCAAAACAAAACAGAAAAAACATCAAATGGACAATGTCAAAATAATACAGTTCCAATTTAACCAGCAATTTTCAAAATAAATTCCACATAATTTAATAGACAAAAACTTTTGAGGTTGGTATGATAGTCTTAGATATACTTAGTAGTTATATTCATGGTTTTCCTGGTAACAAAATGTTTATATTTGTAATTTTCTTTCGAAAACTGCCAATCACAATAAAATTGGTAACACAAGCCATAATTCTAATAATACATTTCTACTGCTTATCACAAAATTGACTTTGAAGGAACAAAAGTATTTAATTTTATTGAGTAATATTGTAAACAGAAGTATTTTAAACAAGAGTTTTAGGAAATAACAAAGACTATTAAGAAACAATTGGTAAAGGACTATTAATTTAAATTTATTTTTGTATTAAAAATTTGTTCGAAATTACAATGGGTTATAAAAGGATATTCTTAAAAATAGCGATACTTTTAAAAGGTATCTACATAAAATATAATAAAAAATAAATATTACCTAAGAGTAAGGCTGTTTTATACTATAAATAAGTTCATGGATTTCAACTACTTACTAATCACTATATACAAAGATCAAAAAATAATACTTTTATTTTAGTATAGCACCTTTTTCTACAATTCATTCTACTATATTTATTTTTTCTACCTAAAGATCTGCGTATTTAAATTTACTATTGTTTATCAGTTAGCTTAGGGTGGATTTTATAGATTGGTTCAAAATTTATGACAAAAATAAACTGTTTTTCCATGATTACGTTATAAATTAATAAATTGCACAACGAAACTATTCATTAAAATTAATCAAAAAAAGGTTGAAGCTGTATGCAAAATTTTGAAAATTTTGAACAATGCTAACGAAACCATCATCCAATATGGTCTCAAAAGAAAATGTTAGAGGGAGTCTATGCAACAAATATGATTTAATCATAATCATTATAATCAGGAATTTTAATCCTACAAATGAGTATGCATATATTTTTTAATTAATAACTAAAATATCTAAAATATCATTAACTTATTGTTCTAATCTGATTAAGATAAGATGGTAATGTGGTTATTCTTAAATATGTTTATCCACAATGTAGACTAGATGTACCAGAGACAATATACCTTGAGGAATCTAAGATTCAATAGTGTACTGAGAGAAAAGAAAATCCCTAAAAAAAGCAATGTCGTTTTCTTAAATTGAGTTTTGGATATATTTAGTCGCTTAAGAGTCCTTGTTTTGTGCTATTCTCTTAAAGAGAAAAGTTTTATGCAATTAATTACAATGGTTCACCTCAATTTAAATTATGTTATTAATTAGTATTATAACAAATTCTAAGAAAATCTATATGTTCGTGTCTTGGACTATTAGATACTTGAAAACTAGTGTAAACTGCCCTGTTTAGAATTATAATTTTTTGTAAACCTAATAGATTTAAAGTGAAAATATAATCCTTACATCAATAAGAATTTGTTGAGATGTCGAGAATCCTTATTAACTTTAGAATTAGCGACAGTTTTTTTAATACCTACCTATTTTAGAATAACAGTTAGTTAGGTATATCACTAAACTAAATTTTGAGGTTTGGAAATTTTTGAATCATGGATAATCGTAATTGTTTACTAAACAGAATATTTTTTCATAAATTTTATGTCTAATTGCATCTTTCAGCAGATTTCATTACATTGGTCTTTAAATATCATTATAGAACCTAACGCAAGAGAAATCTTGCCGAGGTAGATATTCCGGGTTGCATAAGTTACACCTTAAATTCTAAACTAATTTTAAGTTATCACTTGCCAAAAGCTATTATTATGGAACTTATACTTTCAAATCCTCCCGTAAGCATACCTAGTAATGAAACTAGAAGAATGAAAACATCCTTTACAATAACAAGAGGAGTTAGTTCTTCATGGGTAAATTTCATTACTAAATCCAGCATGGCGGGGAATACCAGACACAAGGCTGTACTGCTTACTGATCCCACCAACGAAATGAAGAGACCCAAAAATGGAATTGCTTCGGCCATAATAACTAAAAATATACATAATTATTATTTTAACAGTATTAAAAAAGTATTTTCTGTCTATTCAAAATCAAAGATACGAATATCTTTAACAAGGACAAAATAAATTACAATGTTCATTTCAATTTTACAGTTTAGAGATAAAACAAATGGAAAAAGTAGAAGAGAAGAAGATTAGCAACAGTCATTTGGTAAGTGGTAAAAATACTCACAAATGAAAAATTTACTTTGATTGAAAAAAACACTATTATGTTGAAATGTAGATGTTCATAGGGGTAAAGAGATAAAATTGAAAATTAAGGTAGACAATTGAATTTCATAGAGGAATTATTTTGTACCGTGGACGGTATCGTTCCTAAAAACCGTTGTGATTGAATAAAGAGAAGATGCTATGACGATGCTAAATTGTCCGCACCTTTGCATTACACTTACGTCATATGTCAAACTCGAGATACTGAAGCTAGTCAGTTTTGGTAAAATTAAATGCAATTTTTCTTAAATAGCTTCATTTAAATGATATAAAATCATTTTCATTCCTGTCTTTAAATATAAAATTATTAACTTTAAAGAAATCAAAGTATCACTTAAGTCGCCATTTTCATTACATTTTTCCGTCACTCGAAATGCGTCCATCTGTCATATCGCAAAATAGTGTTTATGTCATCTCTACTTCATTCTATCTCTATAGTGAAAACGGTATTTTGTCAATTCTTTTACTAGATGAGACTATCAGATACTCATATTGGATTTATTCGATGGTCTTATCTTTATGTTCGTACCTCATGCACAGTACAGACTCTGATAGTCCTAGGCTATAAAGGTACTTCCGTACTTGACAATAACCAACAAGGATGCCTATCTAGTTATAGTCAAGTATTTGTTTTTCGTCGTGTTATCAGAGTAACCCTAGCAACTCTTCAGTTTCCTTTAATTTGACTTTTTTTTAGTTAGGTTTGTCGTCACAAATATTTTTATTACAATGAAAACGGCAGATAGGTCCAAACGTTATTTGGTTGACTACCTTTTTGGGTAGTGAATCGGCAAGACGGTTATCTTTTGATGTAACGTGATATATTCCTGGTCTCTTCAGACCACAGAGCTAGGATATATACAGGTAGCATCAGAGAGATAGAGAGAGAGGAGTTGTAACACACACGTAAATGTGTCAAGACTAACAACAATCATTTTAAAACAATGTTGCCAAATTTTAGTTGTATATATTTAGACTTTTTAGTACTCAAACTTTCTATGTTTATTAAAATAATTGATTTTTATTTTATTTTAAACACATTACTATTTATATATGATATATATAAACATTGTTTAAAAAGACTATAGCACATTAAGGTGTAAATTACTAAAATTTGATTGTTCTTAAGCATGTGTAATACTTTACTAAATTTGGCAACGCGCAGCAAAGTTGGGTTTAAAATCAGTAGTTCAAACAAAAAATAGAACCGTCAAATCTAATTTTCAAATACAGTTGACTAATTATTTTTTGTATAACACGTCGCGATGTTATTTATAACAATCTATTAGCTGTTCGAGTGGAATTCAGTTATTCTGAATTGGTTTGCGAAATAAACAAACCCCAGAACAAGCCTAATAATCATTATTATGATACATTTATGTAATGTGTAGAATACATTGTATATTCTTTACATTAACATTAACTGTTTGTGAATTAGACCAGTACAGTCTGTCATAAGCAATTTCAAAAAGGCGAAGGAATTTCATTTCACCTGTAATTATAAAGAATCAAATTAAAATCATTGTTTTTATTAGTAAAAGTGTAAACTCCAAACGTCCAATTAAACAATCTAAAATTTAATTTTAATACAAATAACCAATTATTGTTTCTGGTTTCCCCAATGAAACTACGTTACTGGATATTTTCTACGTTTATAAACCGAGTCCTTGTCAAAACAAATAACCTGACATTCCACGATATGTTTGTGACATCGCTTAACATTGAGTACCTATCATTCTATCTCTCTCATATTTCCTCTATCTATGCTAGCTCTGTGCTTTAGACTGAGTAGTACTTGTCTGCTATAGATGGGCATTTTTCTTTCAGTTATATTGTTTCTGCTATATTTTTGCTGCTATGAGAATCCCCGTGAGCTCAGTGTTAATTACACTGTCACTATTTCTCATAGCCCATTTTATGTTTAAGTTTAAAGATATGGAGTATACTCCACACCTCAAGACTTGTTTTATTTCAAAACCGTCAATGTGTGTATATGAATCGTTATAACTTTGTAAGGCTTATGAAAGAACGGTACCTATTAGAGATTCACTCATGTAATATAATGATTTACAGGTTCGTAAATACCTAAATATCCTCTATTAGTCTGTAAATCTTTTTTTATTCAAATGTGTCAAAAAAACGTCGTATTTCGGACAGATGAAACAAGTTGTGAAAATAAAATTTAGTATCAATATCAACCTCGTTGGCAACCGAGGTCGCCAACAAGATGAGCTTAATCTTTTGTCTTTAGGACTGCCATGTAATAGCAATTTATTTGTTTGATGTATGTAATGCAATGTAAGTAAGAAGAAGGTATGTAGTGCATGTAAGTTCACTACAAGTTGGTAACATGAATGTGCAAGATTAGGACTAAATGGAAATAAGAATATAAAACCAATTAGTCTAGAAAATACTTACTACTATTAATAAGTCTCAATTTACTTACATGTAAATAAAACTAGTCCTGTCCGGAATAATAGTTCTCCAAAAATGGGGTGTTTAATATCCCCTAACATTCCCAGAACGACAGGCCACATTATTCCAACAGCTATATATAATTGAAGGCAGTATGTAAGCAAAATCCCAATTGAAATTATTACCTTCACTGACTGATACAAACTGAAAACAAAAAAAAAAACTATATTATTTTTCATTACTAAAATAATTATCAAATGATTAATTGTTTTAATTAAACGTATAGGAAAGAATTCAACACATCATAAATAATGGTCTTCTGAGATTATTATACAAAGTACCCTGTGATATAAACCAAGTTTCTTCGCACACTGTTCTTATAAACACTCATTAGAAAAATTTGTATTGTATTTTCTAAGCAATGCCGATATTTGTATAAATATCAACGACGAAAATCTACTAGACTAATCCACTTTCATAATCAAGTCCTTATTGTATACAACTCGTGTTTTATGCTCGCCAGACAAAGCTGCTGCATTAGAAAGAGCGAGACTCCTATTAAATTGTGTGAGAATGGTTTATATGGAAGCCCGCGTTTTATGAATGATCTAGCTAGTACAACTACTTAGCATGCTCTGCATTGTTGCCATACTGCAAATTAAATAATGTACGTTCCCGTGTATCACATGCAGCTACTATAAGAGTTACAACCAGAAGAAGATATAAAATATAATATTAAATATTAAAAATGAACATATTGATATAATATTTGATTCAATTTTAAAATAATTACGATCATTGGGGGTGAATTTCATGTTTTTTGCTAATATTGTTTGAGAGCATAATCCAAAAATGTGGAAATAATTTATTTAGAAAGTACAGATCTGTGACTGTCATTTTCATATATTGGCAAAATTATACATATACATATAGTATATAGATTTTCGTTTAGTGTTTCTTTTTAACAACCCGATGGGTGGGGTGAATTCGAACATGCATTAGAAAAGGCCATTTATCATTTTAGACACAGTTAGAGGTGGATTCGAAAAGTTTTTATTAAAAAAAATCATTTAGATGATACAGTTACCATATAAAAATATACGGGGGACCTTAATAAGTTAAAGATAGGTAAGTCAAATAATTTATTCTGCACAATACATAAAAAACAGAAAATCTACTTTTTGCATGAACTATTTAAAAATCAAAGGAACAAAAGTTAAAAATTCAAAATTAGTTTTAAACAAGAAAAAGATATTTAACTACCTAGGTAACTACTATAAGATCACATCTGGCAGTTTAGAGAACTTAAATCGATTTCAACGTAGGTCAGTTGGAGTCTTCATTTTCATAATCACATCTTCTACATTTACAATACTAAAAGAAGTACTTTTTATGTTTAAGTGAAACCTTGCTTCTCAAAAAATTAACAACGAATAGATTATCGTCAACAATATTAGTAATTCTGCCCACGTAATATTTTGTTTTATTACTAGGACAAGCATATAATCGTCGGCCACAAAAGTTATGTTTTCACTATCTTTGTTGCTGCAAGTTTCCACTTCTTGCTCTTCGGCCTCTGCTTCCTCTAACACCTTATCTACGAGAATTTCATCGTCCACAGCAACACTTGAGGATGGAGTTTTAGCATTTAATAGTTTGGCTGAAACGCATTGACCAAGGAATATCGAGATTTTTCCTTTTCTTTTCGTGGATCATTTTCAATTATCACGCAAAATTATTAAAAACATGTTGGATCAGTTCTTAGATATATCATTCATCTTTGTGATTTCTTTAGGTAGTTTATTAAGAACAACAGTTCTGTTTAAAGGAATAAGGCCAGAAGCTTTGAAACCTTATTTCATATTTCATATTGGTCTCTAACTTTAATCCATTTTTTTTCTAACGCCTTTGCGAGCAATTTTAGAAACTCGGATTATGGTATAACTACTCTATTCGTTATTTTCCATTCGGTCAAAATTTTACGCCAGCTTTTTTTTAAATGGCCGATAAATAGCCGATACTCGCCGAACACAAATCTTCTAATAAATGAGCGTCGAGTAATCATAGAGGATATGCTCCATGGTCTCATCTTGTTCGCACCCCCTGCAGAGTGTGGATTCTGACAGCCCCATGATATGGAGATGCTTCCGTATTTGGCAATGACTAGTCAGAATGCCTTGGACTAGGCGCAGATTCTGTCTAGTCATAGTTAAGTATTTGTTTGCTGCAGTGTTATCAGGATAACCTAAAAGCTCCCTGACAACTCAGAAGTTTCTTGTTTCATTCCATCGTTTCTTGAATATCACAAGGGGATGTTCTTTAATTAGGTCAGTCACTACCGAATTTGTCAGACCAATAAAAGGGCCAGGTCCAAAAAGTATTTGGTTGGCTGCTTTCTTGGCCAGTGAACCAGCAAGACGGTTACCTTTCGATGTGGCGTGACCTTTGATCCATCTTAAGGTGACCACATTGTTGATGGATATTTCGGCCAAAACTTCGTAACATTCTAGTACTAACTCTGAGTAGATTCGTGGTGTGTTTAGGGCGAGAAGTGCTTGTCTGCTATCTCTATAGACGAGCATGTTACTTCCAGTGATATTCTTTCTGGTGATTTATTTTGCTGCTATGAGAATCCCTGTAAGCTCTCTTTGAACTACACTGGCACTATTGCTCACAGCCCAATTTATATTTAGGTTTAAGGATCTGGAGTATATTTCACATCCTGACCCTTGTTTTGTTTTAGAACCGTCGGTGTAGATATGAATCATACCTGCCATTTCCGGCTCTTCTATTTGTTTTAACTTAATATGGTTTAATTGAAGCAGCGGGAGCGTATCGAGTGCCCATTGCCAAAAGTGACGTCTCGCCTCACCAGATCCTTCATCTGGTTCCTTGCCGAGCGTGTCATTGTCGTCAGAGCAACCTCCTTGATGTTAATATCAATGGGAGTGAGACTAAGACTGACTTCGATGGCTCTGGTCGATGCTGTTTTTATAGCTCCTCTTATGTTGAGACATGCTCTTCTTTGAATTTGTTTTAGTTTAAGGATAGGTTTTTATTTCTGGGTTTTTGGTACTCAGAAAACTGTACCGTATGTTAGCATAGGTCCATGCGACATTTCTGGGGTAGACCCCTGGTGTGCCCCTAGGTTCGGCTGCATTGTTCATAAGCAAAATATGCTCTTTTGACCCTGTTTTCTTAATGCGAGTTCCACGATAACTTGCTGTCAAAGGTGAGACGTAGGTACTTTAGCTCTGTTGCAAAGTTTAGTTTTTTGTTTAGGAGTTCTGGAGGTTTTAATTACTTTTTTATCCTTTTATTTGTGAAAAGGATCATTTTTGTCTTCTTAGGATTGATAGACAGTGAATGGTCCTTTACCACTGTTCTATAATTCGAAGAGCTACTTGCATTTTTTCGCAGAGTATGTTCTCAAAATTCCCTGTTTGTAGAATGACCAGGTCATCCACATATGCTATTGTGTAATGACTGTCATTATTAAGGCGGCTGATGAGGATGTCGAGGACCATGTTCCACAGTGGAGGTCATAGCACCCTTCCCTGTGGACATCCCCTCGCAACCAAGCCTTTAAATTCACATCTTCTACACTTATGTTTACTTCTCGCTTTGAGAGCATGTTATGTATCCACCCACTATTTATCTGTAGAATATTCCTGTTGGTGGTTTTATCTATGAAAACACCCAACGTAGACTCCATATTGTCCAGGAATATCTCTATCCGGCCAGTAAATAGATGAAGATCAGTAGATCTGCCTGGGGTGTATGCATGTTGGTTTGGGTGTAGTGGTGCATCCCTTATGTATATTTCGCATAGCCTTTCCAATGTCTTCATGGAAAAAGATGTCAGACTAATTGGTCGGTATGGTTTTAGGACAGTGTAATCCATCCTTCCAGGTTTGGGTATGAATAACACTTTTACCTCTCTCCATTTTTTAGGGATATACATCAGGGCCACTGAGGATGTGAATATATCTACCAGGGGCAATGTGAGTTTTTCCAGACGTCATTGAATTAGAGCTGGATATAGCCGTCCTAGCGATTTAAATGGGGAAAAGATGGATGTAAGGAGATATGACTAGATAAGTTGCCACCTATTAATACCTTCTTTCCATTACATTTTTTGAAGTAAGTCACAGCAACTTCTTGGAACCAGTTTTTAAATATTTCCCTTTTGAACCAGCCACTTTTCGATTTATTGTAAACGGTGCCTTCTGGTCCATTTTCGACCCAAGTTGTGTATAAGTGAGTCGCCTTATACAAAACGTGAGGTTTTAACAATTGTCTGGAGCCTCTGTCAGCTATCATTATAGATATGGAAGTTTTTCTAGAATCATCCGATCGACCCGTTTGACACCTCTTTTGCAAACAGTTTTCAACTTTCCAGGATCGTCGGATAGATTAGTCTCTTCGTAATAATAGAAGCTGGAACATCTTTTAAATTGAATTCTCAATTATCAAAATACTGATTTATAATTTCAGGCGATAAATTTGCTCTACATCGTTTGATATTTTAAGACATTCTTTCCGTCAACGGTCTATGCCTTGACATAAAGTGGTAGAACCAGTATTCTCCTGGGTAATTATCACTGACTCGGGAAATTTTTATGCCTGTTCGATCAAGGTATTGTTTCACTAATAGTCTAATATTATGTCGGTGTGAAGAGAAACTCCCAATCTGAGGCCATTTTAATACCATCCACTAACAAGGTTTCTTCTTTTGCTGATCGCATTTAAAAATTTATTATGGAAATAAATTTATTAAATACGAAATTTGGGCGATTTTCATATGATATTTGGTTCAAAATAAAAATAATTACAAATTTTTGGTTTTCAAAATTTCTAAATTTGTTAATAAACCCGTATAGGTAAGATCGGTCCTGAAAATTGGAAATTATTTCTAAAAATCAGGATAATACTTAAATCAAATTAAATATTGCGAGCTCTGTGCTCACAATCACTACCATTGCTTGTTAAATGTATACTGACATATCGAGCGATTTTGACAGATGTATGCAGCGACGCAATGACGCCGCTCGGCACTATAACGGTTATATTAAATTTTATTAGGATTTAACTTTAATCATGTTTAATTATTGTGTATTTAGGTAATAATTAAACTTACATTTGATCTTGGGGTAAGTTGAGTGTGATACTACCATAAATGTCATTTCCAAATCGTAAATATCCAATAAATCCAACTGTAACGTACAAAAATGTAACAAATGACATTCCGACATTAAGTACTCCCAAAGGTCTAGAGAAATTTTCAGGATTCTTCATTTCGTTTTGGAGCGGTAATACCTAAAAAGTAAAGATTTTAAATTAGTTTCAAAGATTTCCCTGTAATTTTAATTTTATTACAAAAATCTGATATACATAATAGATACCAAAATGTATTATTATTAACAAAAATAAAGACCTAAATAGTATTACTAACCCCTCAGACCTAAACTTTATTACCACCACTCCCACCCACTAATAATGTATTTATTTAACGAACGTACAATCATGTTCGGCCAATCTAGAAATATTTGCGGAATCTATTATAATGTATAATGTCCGTGGATTATGGTACATCATGGTAATATGGGTAATAATCGATGTTTATCAATAAGCCTGCATTATACGCTCATTAAATAATACATTAGTATTTTGGAAAAATATATTATTAGTTGGAAAATTAAAAAGTAAAATGTAAAAGCAATAAATATGTTAATTTTTATTTTAAATTGTAATTTATGGGGAAGCACTGCTATAAATAGCTCTAAACATTGTGAAATTTATGTTTAACTTTTAATTATTACACGTTAGAATAATTTCAAATGAATAATAAATTTCGCCTGAGCTATTCCTATCTCAAAATTTTCAATGACACCCTGTATATATTATAAAAGATTATAAAAGAGGACACTTTTTTAAGTACATAGGTTAGTTTTTGGGATATATTTATTTAAAATGTAGATCTAATATTTTATTACATTACGAAATATCAAGCTACCTACGGATAAAATTATGTGGAATTACGTCCCTGTCTTAGAATATAAAGTAGCAAGGAAAATGTGTGTGCCATATTTCAAATAGAAAAAGTACATGACAAAGTCGACCATTTTGGTTAACAATTTATGACTCATTGATTGTTTATGTGTCATTTGAAAGTTAGTTTTTGTATAATATTTTGCGTAAACAAAGCTGCCATGGAGGTGGAACATATTTCAGCCCAAAAAATGGTAACATTTACATATTTACTTTACTTATCTACTTTACTTATTAATCTAAGTTTAGAATTTTTCACATAAAAACATAAAATAAATTAGTTCTTACCAATCCTATTCCTTCAAATGCAAATACAGCAGTCCCGAAAAATAGCGGTATCGTTTTCAACTCAGCCATGTACTTCCTTTCTGATATCGGAGGAAGGTCCGAACTAGTCGAATAGTACAAAACGATAATTATACCTCCCATCATCAGGAAATTGGCAAGCGTCGAAAAAGGAGCAAGATATTTCAGATTTCTCACCAGACATGGCAGTAAAATTGGAACAAAAATAATAGCCATGATTACGTGAACGTCTGCTACATAGCCGTGATAGTCTGCCACCTACAATTAAACATGTTTTTAGAAAAGCAAGTAGTATTATAGTTGAGTATGATAGATAATAGGTCTGGCCGATTAAAAAAATGAATAATCGATTAATCAAAATAATCGATCATTCGAAAATATTCGATTATTTAAAAATAATCGATTATTCGAAAATAATTCGATTATTGAAAAATCAATTATTCGGTATTTCAATAAAATTAATCTGCTAATCGACTGAATAATTATTTTGTCCACTCCTAACTGGAATACCTAGATATAATAGAGGTTGCATTCGCGGTAACAATTCAAAATTGATAATGGATCGGACATGCGATCAAAGTATGAATTAGTAGTCAATTCAAGGTTTGTTACAGCAAAGAAGTTATTAACTACACTTAATACAAACCCAGATTAAAAAACAGATTTCGGAAAAGGTTATTAAAATTTATTCAGCAGGTTACAAGAACGATTGTTAAAATCTCTCGTTAGCTAATGAACCCATAAATTTATTTACTCCATAAATTAACTTCTAAATGACAAATTTGGCAACGGCGATTTTTCAAATGACAAGAGTTTTCTCTGTCTTTGTCGGCCCATTTAAGAGAACACACGGCTGGTGAATACGAACGATATCTTCTCTCAATGAGCTCAAAATTTGTCATAAGGAACGTACCTAACTTCGCGTTACAACACCTGCAAAGAATGTCAAAATCGGCAAGATTTGAGAATGTTGGGACTAGACGAACTTTTAACATGAGAATTGTTTACAAAATATACTTATCTTTGAAAGGATGCAAAGAAAACGAATTTTAAGGTTTAACAATGTGAATGTGGATTTTACGATAGAAAACAATGGATTATTCACAAATAGTAAGTACTTTAATTATAAGAAATAATATTTCTTTATTTACAGACAATATTTTCTTGTAGGACTTTATTAATAATGTAAATAAAAATAACAATTTTTGGGAAACGACAAGGAAGAACATGACAGAATATAAAATAATATTAATTACCCTGTTCTTTAATCTAAATTAATAACAGGGTATTAAAAAATCAAATAAAAATTAAAAAGTTAATGGTGTTTTACTTTTTTATTATTATGAAAACAATATACATTTTTAAAAGCTAAAATTCCTGAGCAACATTTATTTTCATTATCTATTTAGGCATTAAATTATAAGGGTTTGAATGTGGTGATTTTTATAAACAAAAATAAATATAGGTAAGGACTAAAAGTCAATATCACAAAATGTTTTTTACTGTTTAAAATGTTTCGGTTTCGGTCCAAGGGGCGTCTTCAGGACTGAATGCACCTATTATGTATGAAACTTTTTTTATTAAAAAGAGGACAAAGGTATCCAAAAGTGTGATGTCTTTAAGATGGGACAAAGGGCGGATTGCCAGAGAACGGGAAAAGTTTTCTTTTATAAGTCGAGTATGATAGGTATATTACTGGTTGTTAGAGAAGATGTATTTAGGCTGGTTATATTTAACAATATCAAGAAAGGGATGGAACAAGTGTCTTCTGACTAGGAAGGAAGCGATGAGGTAATAACTGAGAATGTGGTACCTGCGAAGTAGGTGAGAAACAAAAATGACCCTCCGTAAACCAGCTGAGTTTTTGTATCCCAAGTGACTAAATTAATACCAGTTGATTAAAAGTAACATTAATAACCCTAAAACATTGTCACTTAGATATTTAATAAAAGTTACTGAAGATCGGCTATTTTCAGTATTACATTTCTTGTTCTACTATTGTATAAGGCTTGTTTACTACTAGGTATTCTAAAAAGCAAAATGCGGTTCCAAATTTACCTTAAAACAGCTCCCTGCATATCCTTTTTATGCTTTTGTCACAATATGTAGACCATTTTGAAAATTCTGATATGTATAATTTTTTTTCTCAGCATTTATTTCTTTTCTAAGTTTGACATTTTAACAAAAACCTAGCTAAATTTAAAAAATATAGGATATTCAATAAGAGTAATTAGTTGTGGCCTAAAAATTATTGAATACATATTTATTTATTGGACCAATAAGTAATAAGTGGTTATAGGGATTCGTTAGTTATGGACACCTGCAATCTTTTAAAAATTTAAATGAAAAAATTATACCTAATCGAAGTTTTTTTTATTGATATATGCACTTTTATACAATATTTTAAATAACTTCAATTTAATATCAAGGAAGGTAGCATAGATAAAATATTATGCATATTATTATATCTATGGTAAGTAACAAAGTTGATTTTGTAGCAAGGCGTTACAAAAAAATGTATTCTAATTTTAAGAACTAAATCCATTGATTTTCTAAAGCAAATTATTGTTACCCTTATGTTTTATGCAACTGAATTATTTTAACATAAAAATTTAATAAACATTCTTAAAGTCTACGGCCTAGGTAGGTACCATGGGCAGAATAATATTCCAATTACCAAATTTACTCTACCTTAAACGCACCAGATTTGGTGGTTAACTTATGACCAATGATACATAGTTATATAGATTGCTCATTAATATGTAAATTGAGCATCGAGACAGAATAAAGAAGACACGAGATAAACACTATTTTAGGATATGACAGATGGACGCACTTGGAGTTGACGGAAAAGGGTAATGAAAATGGCGATGTGAGTGGTATTTTAATTTCTTTGAGTCAATAATTTTATTTTTGAAAACTGACAGAATGAAAATGATTTTATATCATTTAATTAACAAAAATGGCATTATTTTCACCAAAACTGACTAGAAGTGGATTTCACTGGGCGAGGTTTTCTCTATATATGCACTGCACAAACTGTCTGACAAAACAAAATGTAAAATAATAATGTTAGTAAGCAGTGTAGTTCTGTAAGTAAGATACAACACACAAGCTAAGGCTTGCCTGGGCCTGGGCACGTCGATACTCGTACTCGTTAAAGGTAAAGGTACTCAGGAGTACCTATTACTGAAAACTTTGAGTACGTAATTACAATTTTGAGTTGACTTTGAGTACTTAAGTACAATTTTGAATATACTTTACTTGTACTGGCCAGCTGTGCGTATTGTTTTCTTGTCATTAAAATTTTTACAGATTTAAATGTACATTTTATAGTTATAATTAACCCGGGAATTTACCGTTGGGCTGGTAGAAGCCCACCAAATGGCCACTTCAAAAAAATGGGGTAAGTAAAAAGACCTCTCGGCGATGTTAATAACCTGCAGGACTTTGATTATCTGAGAAGATGGATGTCTGTAGACATACCTCAGTGTCAACCAGTAGGGTTTTTTTTAAGTGAATAACCTGCAGAACTTTGATTAGTTGAGAAGATGGCTGTTTGTAGACACCTCTCAGCGTCAACCAGCAGGTTTTTGACGGGTTGATAACCTGTAGGACTAATGAGCTATATTGTTAATTGAAACTAATGTAGGATGTTGCTATGAAATTAGAATGTCCATATTGACGAAAAATATGTGGTCTATTTATAAGATGGCAGCAATTTATAATATTAATTTTATTTAGTAATCAAGAAAACTTTGTTCTGTATAATTAATAATACATTTTTATTACAATAATAAGTGTTTTTTTTATGTTTTATGGCTCAGATATTCACAATATGTCTCAGTTTGTGATTTTATGTGTTTTATCTAGACTTTGCTACTGTTTCCCTGTTATAAAATTGTTTAGAACTCTTAATATTATTTGGCGATATGGATACAACACAAAAAAATATGTGTTTAAAACACATTACATAATATCGTGTCTTGAAGTAAAATGGGTCATTCTTTTTTTTTTCTATCTAAATATTCAAATGCTGAAATTTTATTTTAAAACACGTTCGGGCCAGAACGATTTTATTCAGTGAACACTTGGAAAGACGCTTTTCGTAGACCTATTTAAATATGGGTGAGCAATCTTTATAACGATATATAATTGGTCATATTGCGAAAAATGCACCGTGTTGCCAGATTTATGACGTTCAATAGCTATCGAGGATCGGAATGCATTTTAATGGTTCATTAGCGTTAATGAGTCTATAAATATATACCGATCGTTCTTGCAACCGGCTGATTATGTTTTAAAATGTACAATAATAATTATTTTATTATAATAGCAAGCTAATGATTGAGTGATTCGTTTATAAATTGTTCCTGAAAAAAAAAATAAATTTTTATTTATTTGTTAAAGAAAGTTGTTGCCCACAATATAACATTTTTCCATTAAAAATTTCATTTTAAACTTCGCTTATTTATTAACGAATAGCGGAGGAAATGGCCGATTAATCGAAATGAAATATAATTGCAAAATTTAAAACAATAGATACATCAAAAATAATCAATTTATTGAAAATAATCGAAAATAATCGAAAATAATCGAAAATAATCGAAAATAATCGAAAATAATCGAAAATAATCGAAAATAATCGAAAATAATCGAAAATAATCGAAAATAATCGAAAATAATCGAAAATAATCGAAAATAGTCAAAAATAGTCAAAAATAATCGAAAATAATCGAAAATAATCGAAAATAATCGAAAATAATCGAAAATAATCGAAAATAATCGAAAATAATCGAAAATAATCGAAAATAATCGAAAATAATCAAAAATAATCGAAAATAATCGAAAATAATCAAAAATAATCGAAAATAATCGAAAATAATCGAAAATAATCGAAAATAATCGAAAATAATCGAAAATAATCGAAAATAATCGAAAATAATCGAAAATAATCGAAAATAATCGAAAATAATCGAAAATAATCGAAAATAATCGAAAATAATCGAAAATAATCGAAAATAATCGAAAATAATCGAAAATAATCGAAAATAATCAAAAATAATCGAAAATAATCAAAAATTATCGAAAATAATCGAAAATAATCGAAAATAATCGAAAATAATCGAAAATAATCGAAAATAATCGAAAATAATCGAAAATAATCGAAAATAATCGAAAATAATCGAAAATAATCGAAAATAATCGAGAATAATCGAAAATAATCGAAAATAATCGAAAATAATCGAAAATAATCGAAAATAATCGAAAATAATCGAAAATAATCGAAAATAATCAAAAATAATCGAAAATAATCGAAAATAATCGAAAATAATCGAAAATAATCGAAAATAATCGAAAATAATCAAAAATAATCGAAAATAATCAAAAATAATCGAAAATAATCAAATAATTAATAATTTTCATTGAATTGAAAATAATCTATTAACCAAAAATAACCGATTATTCGAAAATAATAAATTATTTGAAAATAATCGATTATTCGAAAATAATCGAGTAGTCGAAAATAATCTATTAGTTGAAAATAATCGATTAATCGAGTAATTGAATAATCGAAACTAAACGATTAATCGAAAATAATCTAGTAATAAACTAGTAAATCATCGATTTTTCAAAAAAAAAATTACCGAATATTATTCGATTATTTCGCCCACCCCTAAAAGATACCTGCAAAGCTAGAACAAAATGCTTTGTTTTTTTTTATTTTAATCTCCTCATTAAAAAACGAATAAGTAATTAAACTTGATTTATATACGACCACTGAATAGTTATTTATTTTATGTAACGATGCTGGTAAGTTCATGTAATTTACAGATCGTGGTTTCCATACCAAAGTCCGTAAGTTTTGATACACATGTATTTCTATGACTGTACAATAAATGCCCTATTATAGTTTAATAACATATTTCTTTTAGAAATAAATGTATAAAGGTTATTATTACAAAAATATAAATAACTATTCTTTCTATTATGTCTCATTATTAATTTTAATTACCAATTTACCTGCTTAATATTGTCAGATATAAAGACGAAATAAACACAACAGAAACCAAGTTGTGTAGTACATAAACAAAAGTTGACTAATTTTCTCATGAACCCAGATAACCGCGACATTTTGGGTGGTCCCTTTTCAAAACATAATTCAACTGTTTCTGCAAAATCCGGAGGAACTTTCACTTGATGTCTCTCACGCAAAGTTTTGGCGGCTTGCAGCTAAAACGAAAAAAAAAACAATTATATAAATTCGTATCGATAACTTTAAACTTTCAATAATCTACATCATGAAAGAGACTAAACAAAGGGAAAATGTATACAGATAATGTACATGTACGAGGGCGCTTCAAATTTAATCCGGAATTTTGTTTGTAATCTTTATTGATTCAAAACATTCATTAAACAACATACACTACTTTTCGACATACTCTCAATCTAACCCTATACACCTTTGCTTTATAATATCTTTTTTCTACACCCGTATTATAATAATGCACTTGCCCATAATCCGTTTCATAATGATACCCATTATGATACAGATTTTTCATTACGATACAGATTTTTAATCAATAGAAACCTACAATTTTTCAATCAAGCATGCTGTTTGACGTTTGTCCTAGGTTCCTATGTAATTATTTTAGTTGTCAAAACGTATTAAATTTTCGTAGGTAGCTAAACTTCGATAATTATAATATTAAAATGTCTGATATTAGCGATATAGAAGACTCCTCCACACATATCGGAGAAAGCAGAAAATACAGTACAAAATATTTTACCGCAAAAATCTAGGGAAATACCAATACCTGAAGTAATACCATTAATTACAATTTTGTAGAATTTTTTATAGAAATACGAGTAATTACTGTTATTGTGTTCAATACCAATATAAATATAATATTTATAGGTCTTGATTATTTATCGGGTGTAGAAAAAATAGCGTATGCAACTCTCATGTAATGGTTATTAAAACATCATTACATGATCGTTGCATAATATACTATTTTAATAAAAAGTTTATGATTGAGTAACTAGCCAGCTTTGCATAAGGATCTCCACTTCCTCGTCGTCTTCAAACTTTAGGCTGTCCAAAGTTTATTTAAGAGGTCCAAACAAATGAAAATCGCAGGGTTATAAGTCAGGGCTATAGGGAGGGTGAGAAAATATTTCTGCTTTCACGGGACTTTCGAATTACGAGATTTCTCGTTTCTTCTCGATTTCGAGATAATAACATACGCAGCTTTGGTGTGGTGGCCAAAGATAGAGCAAAGGAAAGCAATAACGAGGTTAAGCAAGGTACAAAGACTTGCTTGCCTCGGAATAACGGGGGCAATGAAAACAACCCCCACTGCTGCAATGGAAGCACTAATAGGACTCCCACTATGTGATCCAAGGGGAGGCAAGATTAGGTGCTTACAGATTAGGGAATACACTGGGATATCTTGACATTAGGCCAGGTCATATGATTATCTCAAGGTTAGTGACAGGAGACGTGCTAGACATGAGATAAGACCACATAACCAAGAGGTACACTTTTAATACTCCATTTGAGGTTTTAATACAGGAAAGAACGGAGATCACCATAAGGGAGCCCAATACCCAACGACAGGAACCAACCTGGTATACAGACTTGTCTAAGACTATGGAAAACACTGGGGTGGGAGTATTCTTTAAAAACCCTGACACTACCGATAGTTATGTTATAGGAATACATTCCTCGGTATTTCAGGCCGAGGTATACGCAATTTCCCAATGTGCAAAAACGAACAATAAAAGAGCTATCGAAAATCAGCATATTTTAATAATGTCAGACAGCCAAGCGGCACTTAAGGCCATATCGAGTCCGAAAGTTACGTCGAGGCTGGTAAGGGAATGCATCGAAGAACTAAGAACACTGGCAAACCGAAATAGAGTAAAACTATTTTGGGTGCCAGGTCACCAACGGATCGAAGGCAACGAAAAGGCTGACAAACTTGCAAAAAGAGGGTCAGAAGAAACACCGAAATAAGACACAAATCCAGGAGTACCAAAAAGTATAGTCTGGGGTTTCATAAACGACTGGATTCGGGAACAACATATTAACTATTGGGGAAGCACCCCAAAACAGGCACCTGGAAAAGCCTTCATAGACAGACCATGTCCCAAAAGAACTGGAGAACTACTCTTTATGAATAGGAACCAGTTGAAAGTGATAACAGGGTTCATGACTGGGCACGCCCCAGTAAAAGGACACTTGAACAAAATTGGCATGTACAATGGGAAACTCATGTGCCGACTATGTCACAAGAAACCAGAAACGGCCAAACACATACTGTGCGAATGCGAAGCTCTAGATTGCAAAAGACAGGCTCTTTTTGGACAACCCCAGGTTGATCCAATAACGTATAGATTCCACTCACCTAAGGATCTGTACAAACTTGTACAAGGTACAAAAGTGACAGAGTGGGTGTTATGAACTAATATGGGGTAAAACACATTAGGCCAATAGGCTTCAGCGTTATTCGGAGACATAGTCAAACGAGCCCAGGAGAAAAAAAAGGTTTTGATAGGGCTCATTGATAGCAACGTATAACCTTAGGACCAAATGTAACAACCGGGAAGTCTAAAGGACCACCGATTGTCACCAAATGTAACAACCAACTAGCCTAAAGACTATCTGTAGCTACTGTTGTTAATATACTATTAAGGGATTAAAGCAGCCAAAGGGTCCTGGAGTCTAGAAGAAAAATCCATTCACCAGTGGCAATAATACAAAAATTAAATTAAAATAACAAAAATTATCTATTAATAGCATAGTCGAGCGGTTCTTGGCAACTAGTTATAGACATTTTCCCTATCGCTTTTAGAGCCAAATCCTTAGAGCATATAAGACTAGAGGTGTTACTCAAATGGGTTTGTTATGTACTGAGGGGGGTAACCCTTTCGGTGTTAGGTACACGACGCATTATGATTGGCGAGTTAGAAACACAACGATTTATGATTGGCGAATTTAAATAACGCCAGTATTAGTGATAAATGACATTTCATTTAAAGTCTTGTTTTCATTTTTAAAAAGATCATTTTTTGTGGCTTTAAAAGGCAATTTGGACGAGGTGTCTCTTTGATAAACTTTTTATGTTTATTTTTATTATAAAATAAGTACTAATCATGCCGAAAGCTTGTATAGTTTGCAATAATAAATTCTTAAAAGGATCCTGGTTGACGTTTCATAAGTATTCTATATTCCATAAACGTAACTTAAACTGGGAAATAGGCAAATGAATAAGAAAACATGTTTGTAGAACTCTCTTCATTTGAGCATCACCTCAACTGGTTGCGTTCTACAGAAAATAGTTGTTTTCTTTGCGATAATGCTTAATTTATGTCTTTTTGTATAATGTAAAATGGATTAGATATATTTTTGTATTGTACATATTTATTCAACTGCCATTATTATTTCAAATCTTTTTTTTTACTTATTTCAGATTTCCCACTGATCTCCACAACCAAACTGTCAAGTATTTAGTTTGAGCATTAATAGCATTTTTAGACCATTTTCAAGTGAACATTATTATAAAGGTCTACCCTATTACTTAAATAACATTTTTTTTTTAAATATTTGTTTCTCATTTCTTTACTAATCATAATCTCACACAGTAGAAACCAACATTTTTACTATTGATCCAAATATAAAAATATTTGTGACAAAATCTTTTTCATCAAATTTTAAACAACTTTCAAAAATGGTAACAACTTAAAATTTTTGCAAAAACCAAGCTTTATAAATGGGACGAAGCCTATTGATTTTAAAAAAAATCTGATTTAAAATGGGGGTTAAAGGAAATTGAAATAAAAAAAAATCATAAATCAAAAACTAAAAACGATATCAGCTCAATATTTTCGTTCTCTACAAGGGTACGAAGTCTATGAATAAAATTTAATTTAAAAATCATAAATTAAAAACGAAAAGCGATATCAAAAAACAAAGTAAAAACCAACCTCTATAAGGGGATAAAGTCAAATGATTCTAAAAAAAATCTAAATTAAAATGAGGGTTAAGGGGGGGTTGAAATATAAAAAACAAAAAACGATATCAACTTGAAATCATCAGAAAAATCAAGCTCTACAAAGGGATGAAGTCTACTAATTCTGAAATAAATCTGACCAAAAATGGGGATTAAAAGAGTGTGTTAAACTGTAAAAAGTATAATATAGAATGCCAAGCATTACATATCTTCATGCTAGTGTTGTTACTTTAATCTCTTATTATTAAACTGCCACTTATTTTGCTGAAATGACTTTGACCGAAAAGTTTACTTGTTATTTTACGTTTTATGTCGTTCACTATTAGATACATATTTTTCTTGGTCATTTTAGACATTAATATTAAAACAAAATCCAATGTTTTCTTAGTCTAAGTTTTTTTCTTCTTCTAGGCCTGACAAAGGCCCTAGGACCGATAGCGGTTGCCATTTAATTTTAAATAATTAATTAATTAATTAATTAATTAATTAAACTGTATTATGTATTGTCTGCTGTAATGTATGGCTGAATGGTAAATTAAAAAAAGACACACTAAAAATACGGGGATGAATTTGAAAAATTTAAATTAGTGTTGTTTCTTGGGATGTGCTCATCCAGATACTTGGGGGGAGGGTCAAAACGCTTCCGGACACTTAACCTGGTATATTTATTTTTGCTAGTTGTTTACCTCAAAGTTTATATCTTACATCAATCGAATTACCCGCTTCTTGTTGCGTAACACAGGATACCTATTACCTGTGTTATGTAGTGTTGAATTCGTTACTTGATTCGCGGTAATTATTTAATCCATTCAATTACATTCATTAAATGTGTGTGGCATCAGATTTGAGTCAAGGCTAGAGCTGAAGCCATTAACATTTTTTGCATTTTGCATTTTTTTCACGATTCACAGCATACCATTTAACAATATCACGCCGAGCGTATCCTGCGTACATCTACTTCTTTTCATTGAATTTTACGTACGTCATAATAATGTTAGTTACGTTTAGTTTATAAATAATTCAAATATCTTTAGATTTACGTTATTGGAGCTACACGAAAGAATTAATCAAAGCGTCAGATAATGTAAATGGTATGAAAATCTATTTCCATATGATTACGTTTATAAAAAATATTATATGAACGAAAAAATGATTTGAACCCTCAAATGTGATCATCTTCAATGAGATAAAATAAAATCACTAGATTAGATTTTGATT